TTTCTTGGATAGATTTTTAGTTTCAAAATCTTTTTTAGCTTTCTAAGTTTTAATACAGCAAGTTTCTCAGGGTCAAATGTTATTTTTCTCAGCTTTGAGTCAGAAAAATATTATTAATGTTCATCACCTCTAGTGTCCAGTCCTGTTGTGATCTTTATAGTACTTCTAAGTTTGATAAATGTACTTTTCTAGCAGGAAGTCCTTCTTTTGTAATATGATGGAATGTTATTGCTTTACAATTGCTATTCTGTAAAGTTAAATTTCTCTTAAATTTTGATGTATTAATTCAATGTACTGATTTCAGTGGATCCTGAATAGAAAGAGTAATAATTATTGGTTGTTTTGCACATAAAGACAGGGTAAAAAGATTTAGTTGTTACTGATGCATCACAAGCATGTTTCTTACGTTCTTTACTATGCAAAACACTGTAATCATCTGTTGCCTTCGGTGGAACTTTATAACCTTAAAGCCTTATGTACGCGACTCTACTATAGAAAGCTGATGGCTGAAGAGCAGTGTACTGTCACTGTGCAGCAAGCAGTTTCTTTCAGGTTAAGTTGGTTGTCAGAGTAGCTCTACAAGCTCTCTAAATACATCTACACTAAGAATTTGACAGGCTGATTGTGTAGACAAGGGCAGTCTACATAATTAAAATGGATTTCCTGCATTTGCAAAGTAACCTCAGCATAACAGCATTGGAGAAATACCTAGTTCAATATGTCATTTTTCTTCTGAAACCTGAAACTAGGCTCTTTCCCAGTTCCAAAAACTGTTCTAAGATGGCTCTTCCTGTAATTGACAATGGCAAGGTGGATAATACTACCCTTGGTCATCATTAATATAAACACTTCCCCCTGCCCCGGAAGCTTTCTCTTCCTGGAGCTTTTGTTCAAGAGCTGTGTGTTGAAGAAAGTTTATTTCTGGAGAGGCAGACTCTTAAAAAAAGTTATTTCCTTGCTAACTAGCAGTAGTTACCCAGGAGGAGTCTGTTTTCCAGACCTCTAACCACAGTAACCACAGTAGGCTCATCTATGGCATCAGTGCCGTGAGGGTAGTAGAATCGTGATCTCTGTCCCTGCATGGATTCAGGGTTGGCAAT